TACATAGATAGATAGATATAGATATAGATATATATATATATATATATATAATTGTACTCTACTTTGTATACGTACGACCAAAGTCGTGTCGTCATATATAAGCGCTACATGTGATATATTTCAGCCTACTGCCACCCTCACGTGGGTTTTAAACAACGCAATGTCATTAGCCCTGCATTCACTTGCTCTACTGACGTAATAGAATAGTTTATCACAAGTGCTGTCAGCGTGGATTTGAAACCTGAAAGTGAATCTCATCATGTGATGAGAACAAGGCCGAAATGCAGATACACGCTGATGTTCTCCAAAATACCCTTCTGCGATCACCTAGAATACTTCATCTCCAGTCTAAATGGGTAGCTTATGAAATGATCCGTATCGATGAAAATATACACGCCTCCACCAAAACAAACAGGGCGGAAATAATAGTAAACTTTCAGCGGAACCATTCAAGGGAAACTCTTTCTTCCAGCCATGCATGTGTTAGGTAGACTGAATTAACTCCGATTTGTAAGTACAAAGAACACGAAGACACAAACATGGAACTGTCGTTGCTTCCCGACCTAGGTTCAGATCGATCACCAATCAATTCTTATAAATACCGTATAAAAGCGAAAATGAACATTTACACCAAAAGTACATGGACTTCCATTTTAGTTTTAGAAGACATTCCTACCTACTCGCCGGCGACACAGCACCAGATGACCTGGCACTGCCAGCAGAGCCGCTGTTTAGAGAGTGGCCGCGTGCGGAGGCCTGAGCTAGCCAAGCCTTCTTCACCAGGGCCAAACGGATCTGATTGCATATAAGCAGACGAACGAGAATACACAAACGTAGACTGTGAGATCATTCAGCAACTTATGGAGAAAACAATGGCATTCTTCTTAGCACGGGATTAGGTGCACATGGACGGATGCAGATGTGCATGTATTCGTATCTTCCCCACTCTAAATATACAGGCAGCAGCACGAACTAGGTTATTGTCAGTGTAGCTTATGCATGTCAGGGAACGACCAAGTACACGCTGCTGATCATAGTCCACTTGGTACACTAGCCCCTTTCAGAATGACGAGAGTCAGCACCAGCGCAAAGGCGCACAGATAGGGCGTACCAGATGCACGCATAGGCATACACACACTCTGAGTTCTTAATGGCAAACTAGTGGCTGAGATAGCCCTTAGTTGTAGATGTATCTATCCATATCAAAACAGGAACAAATAACCGATACCAGGTCAGCTCATCTATCTGTTAAATTACTATGCACTCTGTCGGTATAGGCCCAAAGGTCTGACCATATGCCAAAAGGTCTGTCCCGAACACAAAGGTTTCGGTGCAAGTGTGTCAAATTCGTATGTGTACGATTGAATGTGTATGTATGCATGTGATGCGTATATGTAGTGTATACGCCTAATCCCCTGGTCCCAAAGTGGGCACAAATATGGTGTGGTATAGACACACTCCGCACCTGTTCGTAGGCCTCGTCGTGGCCCCCGTTCCTGAAGGAGAGCTTAAGATACCCATCAAAGGGCGGGTTCAGGTGCAAAATCACCTTAGGTGACTGCCGCAAGAACTTCTTAACAAAGTCCACTGTCCGGATGTCAGACAGAGGTAGGTAAAGTGCGGTGTGTTGTGGACCGGTGAACAGAATGCGATGCGAAGTTACACGTGCGGTTCCTTCGGGATAGGGTGTTTTGTTGTCGTTGTTGTACAGTGCCACCCCGCCTGTGTGCACAAGGGGTGTTATACATATTAATGTGTGTATATACTATACAAAGACAAGCACATATCTATATCTATATCTATATCTAAAATATATTATATATATATA